GGGGGGGGGGGGGATTATTATGAAGGGGGATATAGTTTAGTGGGATTTCGGGGACACTCGTTTAGGTAAGAAACTGACAAAAATCGTATAGTTTAGGCGGGTTTGACGATATTAACTCATAATTTAACAGATAGGTCGACTGCAGATAACACAAAGTTACACCGATCTATTAGAGTTTGGTAAACGAACAATCACAAAATTATGTCAATCGTGTAAAGCTTGTGAACAATATAGGTGAAGTAAATATAGCATAACTTAACTAATCCGGTAGAGAAATCCCTAAAGAGCTACACGGGTCTGGAGATTATTTTTCAAATACATTCAAAAAGGGAGACAATATTTAAAGACCAGCGCCTTGGGCCATTCCTGAACACTCCTGCTATTTGCACATTTCTGAAAAGATAAATCTGGTACATCCTATCAAAATAAGAGAAACAATTTGGGGAGACCGAACAATAAGTCATGGTGAAAGCCACACTTTCTTTTACAACTCCCATTACTCTAATTTGCAAAAACCGAGTTCATTACACATAAAGGCATAAAAGACAAAAATAGAAAGTTACATAAAGATAGTGACTTGTGCCAAACACTGAAAGTTTGAGTCAATTATATCAAATATATTTCATCCCCTCCCCCTCCTCTTGTGCTACAGTAAACCACTTCTCTTAATATTAAGAAAAGTCAAGTTATTGAATAAAAGACTATGTCCAAGTCTTCACAAAGAAAGACAAGTCAGTAAGTCTTCTCTTAATATTTTGAAGTGTAAGAATAAACAGATCAAACAGACAATCACCTCAGTCCAAAACTTATGCTGAGTAAGGGTACCACACATATTAGTAAAATTTCCACTAGAGAAGGACACCTTCCTTGACCACTACTCCCTCATATGTTATAAATGTAATTAGTTCTCTTACTTTTTCTAAAAAAAATTATCCACTGTAGTCCCTAGCACTTCAAGCAGTCGAGATGGCCCTCTTTTTTCTCTTGCACTTACTTCTCATAATCATGGTATCCTTTGCTATGTTTGGTGAAGGAGCAAATGATTGCAAAGAGTCTAGGTGCAATAGTGATGGCCCTAGCATTCGTTTCCCCTTCAGGCTTCAACATCAGCCCCAACATTGTGGATATCCTGGCTTTGAGCTATCTTGTACCAACAATAAGACCATACTCAGTACCCTTCCCAATTCACTTATACTAATAGTTGAGGATATTGATTATGCGTCACAGGAGATTAGACTTTATTATCCGAGAAGTTGTATTGTGAACCTATTGCATTTTAACTTTTCAGCATCTCCTTTCCTCTTAAAGCACGAGCCTTTTCTTTGTAACTTTTCCATTTTTAGTCCTTCTGGTATCTCAAACGGTGACTTTGGCTCACAGAATTGCTCTGCCACCTCTGACTCTGGATTAATTGCTCTCAGCGATTCAGAGAATTTGGAAGACTATCCTACTCTTTTAGATTATAAAAAGATTGAGGAAATTTCATCTGTTCCCTGTGATCTAGGATACGATCAGCCCTTCTGGATGAGTTGGTTAAATCCAAAGTGTGGCAACTGTGGAGGTCTTGGAATGGATTGTGGTTTCAAGAACTATAGCAACCAACTGCAGGGAACTCAATGTTTCGACAAACCGACTACAAAAGGTATTAACTCATTCAAAGATCTCTTTTGATTGCAGAATTGATAAAATAATAATATCAAAAGTGAACGTATCATAACTAAAACATTTAATTTACAGCTTTCCAAATCCATCTGCTTTTTGAATATGGTAATGGATTTGGATGTGATATCAATTTTTAATAAGGTAAATAAGTATATAAATGATGGGGAAAAACCCCGTATGCAAGCAATTTACCAAAAAGTAAAGAACCTACATGTGGATGTGATATATATCCTTAATTTGGCCTAAACTCAAATTCTAGAACATAACAATGAAATACATATTTGAAATAGTAACTAAAACTAGAATTACCGAACCATTACAAGTTCGAAACAGAAAAAATTAAGTGACTGCCCTTACGTAAGTAAAAACTAAAATCTCTCTCTTAGTCAATACATGTTTGATACTGTAACAAGAATTTTCTGAAATTTGATGATTAAATGTTTCTCTTTTTGCCATAATAAGATTTTTAATGTAATTCTGACAGGCGGATTTAAGGAACCACTGATTGCAGGTTGGTGCTTCTTGCCTTTTAGTTCTCATATTTTGAATTTCCCTTATTCATCTACCTTCTGTATAATGTCTAATCGAGTTGATATCTTCCAGGTGGAGTATTAGGATTTCTTCTTTTGGGAATTATTATGTTGGCACTCTATGAGTTTTATAGCTCAAGCAAAATTGAAAGAGAGAATCAAGCTAGAGTTGAGAAGTTTCTGGAAGACTACAGAGCTCTCAGGCCCACTAGATATACTTATGCAGAGATTAAAAAGATAACAAATATGTTTCACCAACAATTGGGAGAGGGAGCTTACGGGGTTGTTTATAAAGGAACACTTTCTAATGAAATTCATGTTGCTGTAAAAGTTCTCAATGATTCCATAGGAAATGGGGAAGAATTTATTAATGAAGTTGCAGCAATGGGGAAAATCCACCACTTCAATGTGGTTCGCCTCGTTGGCTATTGCGCTGATGGATTCAGAAACGCTCTTGTGTATGAATATTTGCCAAATCAGTCGCTTGACAAACTCATTTTTCCAGCAAGTTCCAAAGATCACATTACCCTTAATTGGAAGAAGCTTCATGATATTGCTATGGGTATAGCTAAAGGACTGGAGTATCTTCATCAAGGATGTGACCAACAAATCCTTCATTTTGATATCAAACCCCAAAATATTCTGTTAGACCATAACTTGAACCCAAAGATTGCTGATTTTGGTCTTGCAAAGTTATGCTCTAAAGAGAAAAGTGGTGTAACCATGACTGAAGCTAGAGGAACCATGGGTTATATTGCACCAGAAGTATTATCCAGCAATTTTGGAAAAGCGTCTCATAAATCTGATGTCTATAGCTTTGGGATGCTGCTACTTGAAATGGTTGGAGGGAGGAAGAATTTTGACGCAAAGGCCAATAATAGCCAAGTGAACTTTTCTGAGTGGATTCATCAACGAGTGAATGAAGGAGAAGAGTTGAAAATCAGGATCGAGGAAGATGATGATATCATAATTGTAAGGAAATTAGCTATTATAGGAGTTTGGTGCATCCAATGGAATGCAACGGATCGACCTTCAATCAAAATTGTTACACAAATGCTAGAAGGAGATGGGAGCAATCTAACTATTCCTCCTCCCTTTACAGCAAGATATACCAGCCACCTAGGAGCTGGAGTGATTGCATGCCCTTCTAGGGAAGAGTTGAGTGAAATATCAGAACAAGAATGAATGGGAGCCGCATATAAAGTTCTGATGTCAGATTCAGTACAAGTGGATGCTTGAATTTCAGTAATTTGATTAGATATCTGTTGAGTCTTTTAGCTGCAACATCTCAACTCTTTTACATGTGCAAGATATTTTATTGCGAGTCACAATTTGTGACTGTGTCTAGTTTATTTTTCCTGTAATGTTAACTATTCTAACAAATGATTCTCAACTTAACACTCTCTCAAAAGTTATTACAGGTACATTACCCTAAGGGAAAATCTGATTGGCCACATTAGTAAAATAATTTTTGCATGAAATCCATCATAAACTAACACAATGTTGTCATTAGGTTGGTCACATTAGCAAAACAATAAAAGTATTAAATCCCACATAAACAAATACAATGATTGATTGGCCACATAAGAAAAAATGACCTCAGCATAACTAATGCAACACTAAGAATATATTCAGCTGAAAACTTGCCGCATTCAGTCATGTCAGAAGAAAACACCCACTATTAATTTGCAGAAGGTGTACAATATCTCAGCAATGGCACATAGCATGACACAGAAACACAATGACCTTATAGTTTATGTGCAGAAAGCACTGATAAAAAAAACAAAATATGTGCAGAAAGTATCAGATACAATTCATAGATTTCAAAGAAATAGAGGAACCTAAATTGGCACAACTGGTATGTACCCTAATCAATCATTTACTTTGAGCAACTAAAATGTTCTGCTATGTTATAGGAGTCTGATTCTTGAAAGAGTCAATTTCCACACGAGGCTAACAGACTATAAGTCACCTCCGGCAATTGAGCTATTGGTATCATAACAAAGGCATATACTCCCTCTGTTTCAATTTAGATGACACACTTTCCTTATTAGCCCGTTTCAAAAAGAATGACACATTTCTACACTTTAAACTCTTCATTTTACCCATTTTACCCTTAATGATAAGATTTTTATAACCACAGAAATATCATAGCCCCACAAAGCTTTTGCCCCTTAAGCTTTTAAGATCACAAGTTTCAAATATTTTTTTTTCTTAAACTCCATGCCGAGTCAAACTACCTCATCTAAATTAAAACAGAGGGAGTACTATTTAATTATTGGCCAGCATACTGCAAGAAAACAGAAACTAAGACAACATATATGAAAGAAATGTCAAGGGCAAAAACAGACATAAACATAAAGATCTATTGGGGCTTGAAGCATAAAGCATTCATGCTTAAAAAGGCGCATATGAAGAAAAAATATAACACTATGAATAAATAACTAAAATCAGACATTGCCAATAATCCTTCAAGATAGCATTTGCCTTCAACGGCCCAACTGCCCCATGTGCCAAGCATGGTTATGCCAACTGCCTGCCTTGGCACCTAATTGCTCATTTATTGGCATCAAGCGGACGGGACCTGACACTCATGCTGCGTACCTGTCTTGTGCATGGCGGCACATGCTGCACGCCCATGCTCCATACACGTGCCATACATAACACAGCTAATACCTTTATATTCACTGGACCCAAAGGAAGTAGCAACACTTTCCTCTTCTTCCAGTTAATTTTATGTTATGTAGAGTATTTATATGATGTGACATGAGCTCTTTACACTTCTAACTATTATCTTTTATGCTGCCAATATTAGCTTAGAGATGTACTGTGACATCAAATGAAACAAATGAAGGCACTTTTGTACTATAGCCAAGAAGAAACAAGATGGTGATCATCATTTATTTTTCTTTTCCTGGCATTTTCATCTTCTCAACACCCATGATATTAGGACTGATTTCTTACTTTCTATTCATATTCAACTCAAAACCTTAATCTGTGAATTGATTTCAGAAATTCGTAATTATACCAGTTTTGATTTTTCTGCAGAAGGGAAATTCAAGGCCGAACACTCTGTTGACTGTTAGGGTATAGTAGATATGCCCTAGATCCAATATTATATTTGATGATTTGAACATATTTTTTGTGAACGTTATTTGATATAAAATATATGGCATTTCATATTCTTTTATCAGTATTATTAATTGTTTGATTAATTTGATAAGGTCCTTGATTAAATTTTGAGACTTGACATTGTGATGGAGATCATGATAACGAGAGTAAAGTTTCTTATAATTTAATCTAAATTTGTTCTTGATCGTAGGATTATTAATTTGGACATTAGTAATCCGATTAGATCAATATTTATGTGATCGTCTTTATGGGATAAAGATTAGTTGATCTCATTAACTAAATTACATAGATAGATGATGCATATAGAGATATGATCATTGAACCGACTCATTGGATAATTCCTAATGGTTAGAATTACCATAAACTGTCAATAGGATATTCTCTTGAAGAATGTGATGTAACCGTTTCCTTTGACCTGAGATCGTCATAGTAATTGACAAGTTATTTATTGTGCTTTGATACTAGACACCTATGGCCCTAGGGCGATAGTTGAAAGGATATTGGGTATGATTAAATGCTTGTAGAATTAGTGATTGATCAAGATGGAATCTGTCAACTCTTGGTAATGAGTTTAAGCTCCATGTTGTCATGAATTATAAACGACCAAACTAAGACCTTGGCCAGGGCAATTGAATGAAAGAAGAAATGAGTTTCTTAGGTCATTCAATGGTCGATTATATTTGACATGAACACATAGTTGGTCGCCTATTAGGATTTGACAGTTGAACCATATCCTAGGGTGATCCAGAGCTATAAGGACAGAAGGAATTACTACATTATTCTTCTACTGGTTCTTGAGAGTAAATTGTATACTTCATGTTATCCGGTCGTTGAGGAGTGTTGCTAGACGCCACCCTTGATTAGTATATTGATGTAATCAATTTACTACCGGTTTAGTATTGAACCTATGGGGTCGCACACTAACGAGTGTTCTGATTTTTGCTAAAGGATTAATTAACTTATTATTTGATAATTAAATTAAGGAATTTAATTAGTCAATAATTTAAATTATTAGTCCAAATGAAATATTATTATATTCTTTGCTAGCATAGATGATATAATTAATATTGTGAACAAATTGAAGTTTTCTATTTGGAGTAGAAAATTAAATTATCTCTTGGTTGAAATGTATATGTGATATATATAATTAGTATTTGGTAAATCCAATATAGAATTGGATTGACACAAAAGTCCAAAAGGACGTGAGACTAATTCAAACCCATTACTAATGGGATTGATATTACATAAAATATTAACTAATTCTTATAATCCAATTCGATTGTAATTGAACTGGAACGTCCATAAAGGACTAGCTAACGGCGACACATGTTACCCTATTAGGAATGGGGTGTACGTTTTTCCAATTGAAAAAAATCCAGAAGTTTTATTTTTGGAATTAGACTTACCCTAACTAAATCATTATCTCAATCAAATATGAAAGGGTTTATAGGTGATGCTATATAAAGGGTGACGTAAAAAATTTGCCGCAACTTATTCTTGAGAAGAAAACCCACTTTGTGAAAGTGAGAGTGCAATACAAAGCCTAGAGAGAAAATACAATTACAAGAAAAGTGTTTCTTGTTCTTCTAATTTGAGTTGAGATTTTTGAGAAAAATTTCAGCACAATATTTTTCGTTCAATTTTGTTCACGGGTTTCATTGATCAAAGAGTTGATAGCAAGGGTCGGTCTCGGTGTGGATACGCATAGAGTCTTCGCACTATCAAAGAATTTGAAACGAGACTCTCTTCACCAGGTACGTCTTTGATCCGATCTTTGACATGTAAATAAATTTTAAACACGAAAAGATCTGCCTAGGATTGTTATTGTCTTCCGCTGCGTGTTATGAACACCTATACGCAATCCTTCAGTGGTATCAGAGCCATGGTTTCTCGTGTCTAAAATTTATTTATGAAATATTTTAATATTATATTTGAAGAGTTCAAACCATAATACATGTGTCTTGTGCAATAGTCAAATCGTTTGAATGTTGATATTATTTTATTGTGGATAAAATATGTATTCATATGACTATTGAGATAGTTCATAACTTGAATTTGAAATTTTGTATTAGATACGACGGGAATCTATAATAGTTTATATGATTCTATTGTTATTAGTTCATGATATGTTAATTAATAATGATATTCTGGCATGAATTACTTTTTTGTGATATATAGATTAAACATGTTAGAAGAATGTTGCATTTCGTTTTTATGTCACGTGCTTGTTCGTTACATAATTTTGAATTATTTATTACATGTGATGTAAATTAATTCAGGACTAAGCATGTAGACAACTTAAACTAAATTTGCATGCTATAAAAGATTTGATCTCCATGTTATTAAAAACTTATTTTAGTAACAATTCCCTCTTACTAAAATTTGAGTTCTTAAATAATAAAATATAAGATATTTTATTATAAGAGCTATCCATCAAGGTAAATAATTTTACTTATTTCTTGTTTATAAGGAGCGGCCTGACTACCCGGAGACTTATAGTTCGAGAATATGTTAAAATTATTTATTGCATTAGATGTACGGATTGAAAGAATTATTCAATTTTACACTAAACACCTGGACCACCCGGGGGAGTATAAAATTTAATAAATTCTTTGCTATCATGATGGTTGAACTCAA